TTTTCCACCATGGTACATTCCACATCATCATCAATAAGTACCACATCTTTCTTCAAAGCTTTTACTGCAAAAAATTCATTCTTCCCCTTAAGCTCAGCCAGTAGCACCTGTGAAGCAGAAGATAGATAGAATGTAGCTAGATGCAGGAGCTTTTCCAAATTTTAAATTCCTGAAATTGTCTTTTTGTTACACTACTGGGATTATCCAGTCCTTGAGTAATTGGTAATTGTATTTGATGTCACTAACTAGGTGGCAATATCAAAATGATTTTCTCTGATCTCAGAAAGCTAAACAGGACGTCCAATTACCAATCCCTAATAAATCCAGGGCTGTAGAATAGACTGAGAAATGAAAAATATATATTGAGATAACTATTTCAGTGGCACTGCATATATATAGTCTGTGTGTGTGTGTGTGTGTGTTTTTCTGTGTGTGTCTGTGTGTGTCTGTGTGTACATGTCAGATAGTCATCTGGACTTAAGTTCTATTGAAATATTCTTTATTTTTATGAGGTCTATTGACTAGACCTTGTTGGTTCTAACAACTAGGGACAAGTTGTCAAAAATCCCCTAGCCTTGTGAGGTTCATGGCAAAATGACTGGCATTCTAGGTGGATTCCTGCAATGTTTTAGACTATCTCAGCAAGCTGAGTTCCTTCTGCCAAATTTATGCACATCCAAAAATAATAAAACAATTGAATAATAGTCATAAGTAATTTATTTATAGGAGAACTTAAATGAATAAAGACATTTTAGCAAGCCTCAAAAGTGAAGAATGTGTATTTAAGCTTTATTTCTAAGAAACCGCATTTCAAAACAACACTACAGAAAATTTCTTGTTAGTTGGTGGGTTAAAGAAACAGAATTTCCCCAAATATGTCAAATTGGACAAAAGTAATGAAATGGAAGAGTTTTATACATTTGTAATTTTTCTATATAAAATAAAATTGCACGAAGTAAAACATCCACTTCAAGACAAAGTTGATTCGTTATATACCAAAACTTTGAAAGAAATTTCTTATATCGATTGAACAGAATCATATTTACTAAAATTCTAGTTGAGGAAATTCATACTAGAAACTTTCAATTGAAACTTGCATTGGAAATTAATACATGTTTGTACTGAATGCTGAATGCTGATTTTTATGTGCAAAGGGCTAATCAATTCTATCACTGATCAGTTTCAGATATGCCACATCATCAGTGGTTACAGTCTATATGCTCAGAAAATAAAAATAAAGAATTTAAATTGGCATGTGATATGCAATTAATTATATTATATTAATCCAACATAACAAAATATTTTTGCATTGAAGTAAATAGACAGCTAGTAATTATATATTCTACAGTATATATAATAGATACTTTAAAAACAATGCATCTTCAACTTACCTTTCCAAAACTTCCTTTTCCAAGAACCTTATGAAATATAAAACTATCTATGTTGAATTTTCTCCTAATGGATAGTCGTGAAGATGATCTTCCTTCCCACAGCTTATCATATTCACAATTATCTTCAAAAACAAAATGAATAATTTGTGCTATTTCATTTAAATATTTTGTATAGCACTTACAGCTCATAAGAGTTTTTCTGTAGCTTCCATTATTACCAGCACAAGTATATGCATATGCATTTTTGAAAGTATAATTAAGGAGTGATAATATTTCAGAAATATCCTGTGCACTCATGGTTTATATGTAATGTATATGACAATTATAAGTTTAGTAAGTTGTACATTTTTACCTGAACTGTCAAAGTTTTAAGTGTTGACAAAAAGTGTGGTTTGATCTTCTTTTATTTAATATAGGACACCTTGAGAGGCAGGAACAATTTTACCTAGATTTCATTATGCCATCTTTCTGTTTACATAACATATAGCAATGAAAGCACCACCCACATGAATAAAGTACAAATAAAGCCATCAACCCAGTTTATACCAGTTTCCTCACTTATCCTCTAGCCCAGCACTCTTTAGATTCTTCAGTCAATACAGCAAAACTCCTTTGCAATTCAAAATAGCATTTGCATAGTGCCAACATGACAGAAGAATTGGCACCCACTGGCTGCTGCCTGGGACACATTCCAGACAAGCCCAGGTGGGAGAGAGAAAAGATCGGAAAAGTCCAAAGCCAAAATAATGTTCTAGCAAAGAAGATTCTTATAATTCTTTATCCAATCCCACAAGACTTCAATTAAGCTGACTAGCCTTTGGCAGAAATGTCTTACAAAGCCACACTAATTCTTGGATAAAAGTGCAGCACAATCTACCTGAAAAGCATTAAACCAAAATCAATTCAAGTTTAAAACCACAGCAATTGAACTGATCTGTTCTGAACAGTTATGAAAATGATTATTGGCTCTTTATATACTTAAGAAATTACTTCTAAATAAAGTAACAAAATTATTATTAAAATAAAAATATGCATATGCTACTATTTAAAAGTGTATTTAATTTTTTAAAAAGAATTAATACAAAATATTGGTTGTATTCCTGTACTGAATATATTATATATATTTAAATATTTCTAAACTGTATGTCATGCTATGCTCCAGGCAGTGAATAACATTAAAAATCTACAATGTAAAATACAATGTAACATATAAATCTGAGGCTGCGACTAGTGGAATTGTATCCTCAGAAGATGTCAATTATCCAGTTGAATTAAAACTAGTACTGGAATTTCACAGAATACACGCCTGAGCAGAAAAAAAAATCCATTCTGGTTGATGGAAAAATAGTATCTACAAGAAGGAGCTATTCAGAATGAAAAGATACAGTTTCTTTTTACCTGGCATATCTGCACGAAAACCTTTAGGCTTCTTGTCAAAATCCTGATAAATTCCAACACTTTCTACTGACCCTGAATCAGATTTTCTGGTAGATTTCTGGAAAGAAATATATACTCCAATTATTTTAATATCAACATATATGATTATTTTTCATATAGCTATGACCAAATGTTTAAGTAAGTATCGATACTGACATTAGCAAACTAAGGGAAGCTTTCCTTTTCATTATAAGTTTCTATTTCTTATCTTTAACAAATAATAATGGGAGGATTTTATTTTCATAGATAACAAACTTCACAGATTTCTTTATGATAATACTTGTGAAGGCAGAGGAGTATTTTTATGACAAATAACAAATTTCTTGTTCATACGAGCTATACTTGCATGTAGACATTTTTTTTAATAGTAATATGTTGTGTTATAAGTTTTGTTATAAATCGAGGCACCTAAATCAATTTTTTAACCATTTTTACAGCAGTCATTAACTGAATCACATACTGTAAGTCCAAATATGTTATTGTTAAATGAATCATGTAGTAGCTAAGTAAAATCATTCTCCTGAAACGTGGAAACAAGCAAAAAATGTCTAAAATTGCACTCCACATGATTATGGGATACCACAAGTGATTATAAATGCAAATTGATTGCCAAGCATCCCAAATGCAGTCATGTGACTTCAGGGGTTCGCTCAACATTTTACAATGGCCAGAAGTGTTTTCCTAGGTAATTGTAATTTCAGTCATTAAACAACAAGGCAAGGGCTACTTAAGAAAAATTCTTAATTTTATTTTTTCTCCCTCTTTTCCTCATTTTTAATTATTCAGATCCTATCTCTTATTGCCTACGGCATCAGATTTCTTCAAGTAATTTTATATCCTTTTTCTGCTACTTTCAGGTTTTTATAAAATTCACATTTTAACACGAAATAACTGCACAGCATGTGATATTAGGGGTTGCAAAAGGAACACCAGTTGGCTCCACTTACATGGACATTTTCCATGAAATTAGCAACATGTTTCCAAATGTAAGGGTGGAAATCAAGCTCAGTGAAATTAATGTGAGTTTTGTATTGAGTTCACTTAGAGAACAGACTGTTGATACTATATTTTCAATCCTCAAGTAATAATCTAAAGATATTAGAATAACTTCAGTTCTTATATGATTTTTTGCTTTTATTTATATGCTTTAAGGAGCTAATTCAAATCATAGTTTGCTGGTTTGGATACAATAGCGAATTGGGATTTGATTAAATAATGAAATGTTCTATGAGCTCAGCTGGATAGGGGGCAAAGGAAAAGGACAAAGGATTAGAATAAAACATACTTTCATTCTTATTTCTTATCTTGATTATTATTTATCAAGTGATAATTTAGAATAGGAAACAAATAAATAGCTAATATAGATATGAGCAAAGTTATCACAANCCTAGTGAGGCGTCCTATCCTAACCAAAAGCCCTAACCCTAACTCTATCAATTGTGGAGCCTACCAGCAACAGGGAGCCACAGCAGAGGGATGATAAAGCCACATTTGGCTCCACAGCCGCGGGTTGCCAATCCCTGTCCTAGAAGCTATAACAAAACTAAGAAGGCTACTAAATTTAAAACAGGTCGATTTTACCAAAAAACAGTTGAAAACTGCCTAAATCAGATTTTGTTATTAATGGTGAAATTTTAGAGTCATTATGAAAGCAGATTTTAGAGAACTTTGACACTGAGTTTTGATAAAAATAAGAATGTGATAATAAGAATGGAATCAATTATGCTTTCATTATAGGCCCTGGTAGTATTGTTGAGTGTGGCATTAATTTTAGTATCCTAAAGTGACAAGGAACATTTCTGCATTGTTGATCCTGCTCCTGGTATTTACTCCCATAGGAGAGGGAGGCAAAGTCATTATAAGTATCCATGAAATCTTATCAGATTCTTTTTAAAGGGGAGAAGTCTATCAGGGCCATTATGTGTGGTGACCATGAAGTTACATACATCATTAGTTAATTTCCTTGTTAACTAATTCCTATTAATTGTCAGGTAAGTTGATAAAACTTTTTTAGGATTTTCCTAAAGAACATTGAAATTCTCTTAGGAAAAATAAGGTTATAATAGACTTCTCACATTCAATCTCACAATGAAAGAAAAACTATGGAAATTCTTCAGTAGTAGAACTATATACATAAAACAGACATCTAAAAGGTAGTGTTATTTTACTTACCAAACAAAATCTTTGCAGACAGAGCAAAATGTAGGTTGTCCAAAAAAAGTGGCAATGAACTCATGATTTTTAATATAGTGGATCTTTGCTTGTTTGATTGCTCCTCTTCTATTTATAGTCACAGTTCCTTCATCTTCTTTTGTTGATTGAAAACAATCTTCAAGTAAAGAAATAAAACATAAGTGAAGTTATAGAAAATGTTGGTTTTTTGAAGTCTGGTATAGATTTTATGATAAGGTATAAGACAAGGTGANAGTCCTTGAGTAATTGGTAATTGTATTTGATGTCACTAACTAGGTGGCAATATCAAAATGATTTTCTCTGATCTCAGAAAGCTAAACAGGACGTCCAATTACCAATCCCTAATAAATCCAGGGCTGTAGAATAGACTGAGAAATGAAAAATATATATTGAGATAACTATTTCAGTGGCACTGCATATATATAGTCTGTGTGTGTGTGTGTGTGTGTTTTTCTGTGTGTGTCTGTGTGTGTCTGTGTGTACATGTCAGATAGTCATCTGGACTTAAGTTCTATTGAAATATTCTTTATTTTTATGAGGTCTATTGACTAGACCTTGTTGGTTCTAACAACTAGGGACAAGTTGTCAAAAATCCCCTAGCCTTGTGAGGTTCATGGCAAAATGACTGGCATTCTAGGTGGATTCCTGCAATGTTTTAGACTATCTCAGCAAGCTGAGTTCCTTCTGCCAAATTTATGCACATCCAAAAATAATAAAACAATTGAATAATAGTCATAAGTAATTTATTTATAGGAGAACTTAAATGAATAAAGACATTTTAGCAAGCCTCAAAAGTGAAGAATGTGTATTTAAGCTTTATTTCTAAGAAACCGCATTTCAAAACAACACTACAGAAAATTTCTTGTTAGTTGGTGGGTTAAAGAAACAGAATTTCCCCAAATATGTCAAATTGGACAAAAGTAATGAAATGGAAGAGTTTTATACATTTGTAATTTTTCTATATAAAATAAAATTGCACGAAGTAAAACATCCACTTCAAGACAAAGTTGATTCGTTATATACCAAAACTTTGAAAGAAATTTCTTATATCGATTGAACAGAATCATATTTACTAAAATTCTAGTTGAGGAAATTCATACTAGAAACTTTCAATTGAAACTTGCATTGGAAATTAATACATGTTTGTACTGAATGCTGAATGCTGATTTTTATGTGCAAAGGGCTAATCAATTCTATCACTGATCAGTTTCAGATATGCCACATCATCAGTGGTTACAGTCTATATGCTCAGAAAATAAAAATAAAGAATTTAAATTGGCATGTGATATGCAATTAATTATATTATATTAATCCAACATAACAAAATATTTTTGCATTGAAGTAAATAGACAGCTAGTAATTATATATTCTACAGTATATATAATAGATACTTTAAAAACAATGCATCTTCAACTTACCTTTCCAAAACTTCCTTTTCCAAGAACCTTATGAAATATAAAACTATCTATGTTGAATTTTCTCCTAATGGATAGTCGTGAAGATGATCTTCCCTCCCACAGCTTATCATATTCACAATTATCTTCAAAAACAAAATGAATAATTTGTGCTATTTCATTTAAATATTTTGTATAGCACTTACAGCTCATAAGAGTTTTTCTGTAGCTTCCATTATTACCAGCACAAGTATATGCATATGCATTTTTGAAAGTATAATTAAGGAGTGATAATATTTCAGAAATATCCTGTGCACTCATGGTTTATATGTAATGTATATGACAATTATAAGTTTAGTAAGTTGTACATTTTTACCTGAACTGTCAAAGTTTCAAGGGTTGACAAAAAGTGTGGTTTGATCTTCTTTTATTTAATATAGGACACCTTGAGAGGCAGGAACAATTTTACCTAGATTTCATTATGCCATCTTTCTGTTTACATAACATATAGCAATTGCAACAATACCTGCACTCTAGCGAAAGCACCACCCACATGAATAAAGTACAAATAAAGCCATCAACCCAGTTTATACCAGTTTCCTCACTTATCCTCTAGCCCAGCACTCTTTAGATTCTTCAGTCAATACAGCAAAACTCCTTTGCAATTCAAAATAGCATTTGCATAGTGCCAACATGACAGAAGAATTGGCACCCACTGGCTGCTGCCTGGGACACATTCCAGACAAGCCCAGGTGGGAGAGAGAAAAGATCGGAAAAGTCCAAAGCCAAAATAATGTTCTAGCAAAGAAGATTCTTATAATTCTTTATCCAATCCCACAAGACTTCAATTAAGCTGACTAGCCTTTGGCAGAAATGTCTTACAAAGCCACACTAATTCTTGGATAAAAGTGCAGCACAATCTACCTGAAAAGCATTAAACCAAAATCAATTCAAGTTTAAAACCACAGCAATTGAACTGATCTGTTCTGAACAGTTATGAAAATGATTATTGGCTCTTTATATACTTAAGAAATTACTTCTAAATAAAGTAACAAAATTATTATTAAAATAAAAATATGCATATGCTACTATTTAAAAGTGTATTTAATTTTTTAAAAAGAATTAATACAAAATATTGGTTGTATTCCTGTACTGAATATATTATATATATTTAAATATTTCTAAACTGTATGTCATGCTATGCTCCAGGCAGTGAATAACATTAAAAATCTACAATGTAAAATACAATGTAACATATAAATCTGAGGCTGCGACTAGTGGAATTGTATCCTCAGAAGATGTCAATTATCCAGTTGAATTAAAACTAGTACTGGAATTTCACAGAATACACGCCTGAGCAGAAAAAAAAATCCATTCTGGTTGATGGAAAAATAGTATCTACAAGAAGGAGCTATTCAGAATGAAAAGATACAGTTTCTTTTTACCTGGCATATCTGCACGAAAACCTTTAGGCTTCTTGTCAAAATCCTGATAAATTCCAACACTTTCTACTGACCCTGAATCAGATTTTCTGGTAGATTTCTGGAAAGAAATATATACTCCAATTATTTTAATATCAACATATATGATTATTTTTCATATAGCTATGACCAAATGTTTAAGTAAGTATCGATACTGACATTAGCAAACTAAGGGAAGCTTTCCTTTTCATTATAAGTTTCTATTTCTTATCTTTAACAAATAATAATGGGAGGATTTTATTTTCATAGATAACAAACTTCACAGATTTCTTNAGGTAAATAATGACAAAAATAATTGATCTCATAAATTAATACGCACCCAAAATTCTGCTTTTCCATTGCCTTTTTTACATTTTTCAGCTAAAACTGATACGCCTACAGTCACTTCAGACAATGGTTCTTCTGCAGCCTTCATGAGGACAATCTGAATCACACGTCCTTCATAGATGTGGGCATCAAAAGAAGTTTTCCAATCGGGATACATAGTGGGCTTCTTCTGAATCAAAGTTTTTCCTCTCTCTTTAATACACAAAAAGGTATGGATGACAAGTTGACAAGAAAAGCTCTGTACTTCATCACATATTGAAACAATATATGGTCAATTTATTAATTAAGGAAAGAAAAAATATTTAAACAACTTTAAGGAAATTATAAATCTTACAATCAATATCTATTCATAGTTATTTTGTATTGGCCCCTTCACTGTTGCTAGGTCAAGAATTGAAGAAGTAAGAAATGGTAAGTCAAAGAAATGAAGGCATTAGAAAACAAAATAATATATAACTAAATCTAGTTTACATGAAGCCATTAACTAAGACTCTTAGTAGCTTTCTCTCCTTCCAAATCAACCTTCCACTAAATCCACACATTGTTTCATATGCTATCTTTGTTCTTTAAACTTCTGACATCTCTCTTTTTTGAGGATCTTTTCAATTCCAACCACAATTTTCTCATCCTTTCCTTCTGTCTCAACCCATTCATTCTCCCTTTAGACATTCATTTGCAATTGGATTCTCATTCATTTATGACCATGCACCTTCAGTGCACAGTACTTCCATTGTACCGTACTCACTTTTTTATTCAGTCACTAATTAGTTTTAGACCCAAAAGTATATATACACACAGTGATCAATCAAAGGATTCTGAAGGATTTGTAAAACTTAATCTATCGAGATGAAGATGGGACTTCTTGTCTTTTTAAAATATAGTCCTTGAATCTGTGTTCCATTTCTTTTTCCAAAGTATTGTCAGATTAAAAAAAATGTTTCTCAAGATTCACCAGGTTTTCACTGAATGTACCCCTTACTTTATAATACTTTATGGTATAATAATGGCTGAATTTATGTAAGAATATGGTGACTGGAATTAGTTACTGAGGTGGACACTCTTTTGCAAACAAACAAACAAAACTTCAAACAAAAGATCTTATTTAATGTCTGAATCATGCCAATGTAATTCTCTTTCTTAGGTATGTTTGTTGTTTCTTTATTTCTATGTTTGCTCAGATTTCCATGACAACACTGGAAAACAATTGTTTTTATTCTTTGCTGACTCTGGTCCAAATACAAGCTACAAAATAATGAGCCAGACTAGTAGGAAAATGTCATGGGTAATATGTAACATGTTAGATGAGAAATCCTATTTTGTTTTCCTTTTTCCATCTATCATTTTAAATGAAGACATTTTATAGTGCTTTGTTGCAGCTTTTTACTATGTTTATCATGAACCGTTTTAAGATCAAACTGAATAAATGAATGAAATAACATTAATCAAAATTATTAGATAAATAAACGGTCTTTCTGTATTCATAAATCATGTAATATTCCATGTATAACCTTGCATTTTCTCACTGCATTAGGACAGCTTAAGATGTACTGGTTTAGCACAGCATGAAATCATTTGTTTCTAAACTAAAAAGGAATAACTGAACTCCAAATGCACTTTATATTTCTGAAAGGAGGCCTCAAGTATATTATTTCCCACTTTAGTGTTTAAGATAATAATTGCATTCCTCCTAAACATCTGAGGAATTATTTTATTACATCTGAACACAAGCACAATAAAGCATCAACTATTAATGGCTCGTACTGTATTAATGCATAAAGAATTAAAGATACTGAATATACTGATATACACTATAGATCATGATCCTGAATTCATAAAATATATCCATTTTGTTGAATAGCATGCATGCACTGTTTCAAAATACTTAATATATCCTTGAACTACACTTTCACATTATAATTTTATAGGTAAAAGCTTTTTCCATTTCAGAACAAATATAGAAACATTCAATTTGTTGTTAATGTGAGGGAATTAATAAAACATGAATATGTATGTATGTATGCATGTATGTATGTATATATGTACGAGAGAATTAATTCTCTGATGAGAATTAAATAACTTGAAAAAGATCTATACTAGTCTCCCTTCAGCAAAAAAAATTATATGTTATAATATTCATGTTATAATATTCATTTTCCCATTTCTCCATTTCTCTTTTATTTTATCCTAGCAGCATCCAAATTAGCTTGGAGTCACAGGAAGAGAGGAATGGGAAGAGGTATGTACTGTTAAGTATTTTTGATCCATGCCCTGAAACTGACTGCAAAATGAAAATGGTTAAGTGGGCTTTTTAATGGGCACAAGTGGAAAAGGACAATGATACTTCTAGGCTACATCAAAAAGAAAATGTTCAGCAGCATCCAAGGTGCTGGTGATGATGTTAAGGGACACAGAATAATAAAAGTCTAAGAAAATAGCTGCAAACTAACAATATTCAGGTTGATTTGACAAGAAAATGGTGGGAAGAAAAATGAACTTCAGCAATGGGATCCTGGGTTGCTAATTGTCATTCCTGCTCCTGTATATTTCTATCAAGCTCATCATCCTTTACTCTCTGCAAATAGGTCAGATCTTCTTGGAGTTGTACACAGAATTGTACAACCTTACATAAACAATATAGTTGGTAGGGTCACCAGTATATCTATAGACAGCAGATTGACACTTGCCCTAAAAACCCACCTTTAATTTGTTGTTTAAAAAAATAATTATCATTAATTTTAAAAAAGTGAGAATCTACCTGACCTAAAGAAGGGATGAGAAGAAACCAACCTTGAGCATCATATATATTTCTGGCCATGCCTTGCAATTCTGAAAGACATTCTTCAAAAATTAAAAAAAAGCTCCATAGTACCACTTTGTTTGGAATCTTGCCCAGAAAATAAGAAAACAGCAGGGAGATAGTAAAGAACATCCTAGATGGCTAGAGAAAGATCATGATGCCTTCTGCTAAATGGTTATTTTGTAGTTGGGCTAGTTGACCATAGAGGGCATTTTGTTGGAATACACATGCTGTACATTAATAATCCTAAATGTATTTACAAGCCTAAAATGATTAAAGATTCATCCTAAACCAAAACTAAATAAGCCAAACTATGCCTTCATACAGTGTGTGAACCTATTATTTGCTATTATTTGCTCTTTGGCTAGTAGGGAGAATTTTGATAGGAGACAAAAATGATTTTTTTCAAGCTGTCTCAGCAAGTTATTACAAAAAGCAATGGAAAATTAGACAAGACATAAAGCAATTTAATAGCAGTTTGGTTCCCCTTTCAATTTAATGAGTAATGAAAATAAATGGCAAGCATAAAATAGATTTGTTTTCTCTAGTTCTCTGGATTTTTAAGAGGAAGGTTGATGCATAAAATATGGCGGTGATGCTGGTGTTAAAAAGAAATTAGATTACCTTTGATAATAATACACTGCTGGCTAAGTTATGAATTAACCCATGTTAGTTGCCCAGAGTCACTTGGTGAATGGTCAACATAAACAAACAAACAAACAAACACACACACACACACACACACACACACACCCCCCAATTGGGTTTTTTGGGGGGGTAGGTGGGTGGGTGCTACAACATCCCTATGCATGTACTTGTCCCTTTTCCATAAAAAATAAAATGTTAACTTGTTAACTGGTTTTATTTGCTTCAGATATGGGGAAATGGGCAGTTTCTAAATTTGACAAATAAATAAATAAATAAAACAGCTTTAACAAACAAACAAATCTGCTTTTGATTTAAAGTAACAGAACAAGATCCAATCCATCCCGCTAACCGGAATACTGCTAAAAGAAATCAAACCCTTATATTAAAGTGTCTTACATGTTTTGATCCACCAGCTGTATTTGAAATTTAAATAATATTTTCCTATTAACTCAGAGGCAGTTACTGCTAAGTAAACATGCTCAGGATTCAACTGCAGTTTTCTCAGACTATTTGAGAAGAGATCCACTTAGAAACAAAGTCAAAATCATTTTTATTTTACCTGTAGTCAAAGCCTCTTTCATTTTTATTGCGCAGAAAGGCAGTAATTGCTCTCCCTGATTCTGGACTTGTCCTAACTCAAAAGAGTTGAATGATATTCGTAAAAAGGGTGCCATAATTCACAGCTCAGCAGTCACCTATAGAAGAAAGACCAGACAATGGTATTAAATCAACAATTATACCAAGTAAAAATAAGAATTAAGAAAGCATAAATAAATTATATTTCAAATCTGCTCACAAATTTCTACTTTTATTATTGGAATTGTCTTTGTTTTCTCTCATAAACATTCACATTCTAAAATCGCCAAACTTCATCTGAATGGGATACAATGGTGTACAAGAAGTAATCCATTTTACAACCTATTACAGAAAATAGCTGCCTTTCAAAAGACTGAGTAGATAAATCTGAATAAATTAATTTGCAATTACTACAGATTTAAGTGTTATAAATACTATCAGATTCACCTGACTTTTAGCGAAGGAAAATTTCTAAATTCTGAGTGCATATTGTATGTCAGAACAAATAGTGAAAGTCACATGAGTTCCTAAAAATAGTATATGTAGTATAACTTAGATCCTTTACTTATTAAAAAAGGAATAATTTGAATGTTTATTATTAGTGACCCACTTAACTATAATTTTTTTAAATTAGGTATATTAGTGGTCCTCTGCAGTTTTCCTCATCCCTCTTGTCTAAAACAAGAAATGAGTCGATCCAATGTTTTTTCCCCACCTGTTTATTTTTTTTAGTCAGGCAGCTTTGAAATCCAATAAACAAACAAACAGGCAGGCAGGTATGAAAAGAGTCAAACTGACAGACTTGTGTAATCAAAACCCTGCCTAGAAGTTTTGATTGCATGTTCACACCCACTATCCTTGATACATCCTGAAATGTTCCTGTGCATGGAATTGTGTAACTTCTCTTGCAGAAGCACTTCTAGGACATGTATACTAGCAAGTCAAATATTTCATTTGATATATGTAACAAATAGCAAGCAAAGATCTGAATTTAGTTTGTTCCTGTTTCTAAGAAATTTCACTCCATGTCTTTTTTTAAAAAAACAGGGTACTAAGCCCCTCTCTTTCCTGTGCAGCATATGCTGTAGCTTCATTTTCTTGCATTTGTTCCTTCCCTTGCTTTCTCAGTGATATGTATCTGTGTAAAATAAAATGTAAACTGAAATTATGGGAATCAGAGCTAGTATCTCTGCTGTTTTAAAATTATGGAGCATGTGCATATGTAGTTTCATCAGTTACATTAAAATACAAATTCAGAATTAGAATTCCTATTCTATTAACACTGTCCCATGATTCTTCGATTTCTTCTGTTAACATATTCCCACTCTACTTCAATCCACACCTGGAATACTGCAACCAACTTTGGTCATACTACAAAAAAGATGTTAAAACTTTGGAAAAAGTTCAGAGAAAAGCAACTAAGATGATCAAAGGCCTGGAGACTAAAACATATGAAGGCCGGCTGCAAGATTTGGGTTTGGCTAGGCAAAAGAAAAGAAGAGTTAGGGATGACATGATAGCAATATTCCAGTACTTGCGTGGCTGCCACAAAGAATAGGGGGGTCAAATTATTCTCCAAAGCACTGGAGGGCAGGTCAAGAAACAATGGTTGTTTCTAATCAAAAGAGAGAAACAACCTGGAATTAAGGAGAAACTTCCAAATACTGAAGACAATTAACCGGTGGAACAGCTTGCTTCCAGAAATCGTGAGCGTCCCATCGCTGGATGTTTTTAAGAAGAGTCTAGAAATTCCCTTATGTGAAATAGTATAGGTTCTCCTGCTTGATCACGGGGCTGGACTAGAAGACCTCCAAGGTTCCAGCTTATTCTATTCTATTCTATTCTATTCTATTCTATTCATTTGCAAGTTTTCTTTTTAAATCATGAAATTGTTCCATATGCCATATTCAAGGAGATCAGAAGAAAACGTTCATTTAGCTTAGTTTTTTTATTCATACTTGCTAGTCAGTAGGTGTCACTCTCTCATACATATTTTCAAGAAAATGCAGTATTATGCCAAATATATATATGTTTTAAATACCAATAATATTGCTACTTCTGTCCAGATCCCAGCCTAGCTCTATTTATTATGTAATTCCTTGACATGTGTACTCATGTTATTATACTATATGCTACTTAGGTAATGAAAATATTTTTATTTCAATATTAAGAAAGGCATGTAATATCCAGCTATGTTTTGATAAAACAATTTAACAAGGAAACATTGACAGCCAACACTTTTTAAGGAATGTCTAATTTCAAAATAGCTTCCGTTTGCTCAATGATATACGCCCGTCAGGTACATAAATTAATCAAGCAAGCGATATCAATCATAAATGCTTTTATAAAATCAATAGTAGATTCTAATGATAGCACAACATTGAACAATACATTGCGACATTAAAATAATTAGTTATTTTCTATATAAACATTTTTTAATATCATTACTTCAAATGCTATAAGTGACATTATCCCCTTGTAATTATTTCACTTCAAGATACAGGCAATCATTAAAAATTAAAAAAATTAAGTACTATAGATTTGAAGGCAGGTTTACAGTTTTTACGGGGACTTTTTGCTTTTTAAGGAAAATATGCAAAATAAATCTTAACTTTTCTAATGTTTTGATTGGAAGTTTATTTCACAGGGGAAAGCTATTGGGATTAGGGTGGAGACTTTAACAAAAATATTCATCTACATGCAGCTGCTGTGTAAAAGATAAACTCAAGAAGAAATTGAGAATCTTCATTTATTCAATTTCTTGGGCAATGACCAAGAATACCACATGGTACATAGATAACTCCATTCTAGAAAGAAAAAAAAGGATACAAAACGATCCATGCTACATAAGCCTACCTTCTAGCATGCCTTCATTCTATTCCTAAAAAAACCAAGTAGATGCTTAGGATAAATCCACAAGGGATATTGTACAAAAGGATTCATACAGAAATAATATACTGTAGCAGCAGCATCTCCACAATTCTAGAAATGAAAAAAAAAAACTATAAAGAGTAATCAAAATAATCCCAAGATAAAGAAGTATTGCTCTTTTAAACTGAGGAAAAGAGATATTTATAGGAAGGCATGCTGCACAAAGGTGCTTAAAATTACACGTGCTACAATATCAGAATCTGAATGTAGAAAAATTCCAAAGAGAGAAAATGAAATAGTTTTTCATACAATTTATGTCACAGTCCACAAACTGTAAGTATAGCCTTATCTAAGATATTAAAAAGAAATGTTGTTTTGTTATGTACATGCCCCAACACTGAAAACCCTACGTAAGTCCTCGACTTACGATTCGTTTGAAGTTATAAAGCTGAAAAAAGTGACTTATGACTGCTTTTCACACTTGGAACCATTGCAGCATTCCCAGGGTTATATGATCAAAAATCAGAACCTTGGCAACTGATTCATATTTATGACGGTTGCAGTGTCCTGGAGTCATGTGATCACCTTTTGTGACTTTCTGACAAGCTAAGTCAATGGGGAAGACAGATTCACTTAACAACAGTATTACTAATTTAACAACTGCAGTGATTTGTTTAACAACTGTGGCAAGAAAAGTTGTAAAATGGGGCAAAATTCACTTAACAAATGTCTTGCTTGGCAACATAAATTTTGGGCTCAATTGTGGTCGTAAGTTGAGGATTACCTATACTCAATTAAATGACATTAGGGTTTAGTCATTCAGATGGATATTCTGAACAGAGTGATTTTTCCTGCATTATAAAATTACTTCAGCTAGGGCACAAAAACAAGCCACTATGTTCTACCAACATGACAGGAATGATGACATGTTGTTCTTTTTACTTGGCAAAAAACATTTATCAGTGTTTTAAGAAGTGACATATTAAAATTTCTAAGAAAGGGTTGTTTTTTACAAAAAAAATTATTCAGATTCTTGCATGTTTCACAGAGCAGAAAGCTAGAATTTTAGTTTAAGATTCAACAACAAATTGAAATGAACACAATCTAATTGTTCTTGCTTGCTTTCTGCTATGCGGGCTTTTCTACCATGGCTAGTTTGCTTACTACTTTATCTAAACTGGCATTTACGACCTGCTATTATCTAACAAATCTGGAACCAAAACCAAAGAACAAATTTTGGTTTATTAGGAAACCAGTGAACCCGGAATTCATATATGGGTATGCCACTAAACAAACCAGTGCTGCAAGTTTCTTGTTTAGTGCAGCCTTTCCTGCTGAGAGAAGACAAGCATAAGGAATCAAGCAATACTTTTGTGTTGCCTATTATTAATAAGACAGGATTTCTAGCAATTAGATTATTACAGAATAAGAAACCTATGAAAATACATATTTCATTTGATTCTTTAACCAACCCCAGAGACAAACATTTTTACATTTATGAAATGTGTTGGCAGAGTGAATAATGAAATGCAGCTTAACCCACACAAGGAAATCAGGACACACCCAGTGCTGAACTCACAAGAACTTCATTGCCCACAATCACCTGAACTAAGTAGAATGACCTGTGCCCAATAGAGATTTATTGACTTTCAACCATATTGAATAAATTCAATGCACTGTTGCTGTTTTGCTTTATTTGTCAATGCCTGAAAGCAGCATAATAGCTAATGACGAATGTGGCAGCACCAGATAAAATACTGTTTTCTTGCAGAGGATACTTCTTTGAATATGTCCTTCCTATGTAATTCAGTTTGCAGATGGAAGAGCAATTGCTTAAACACCTTAATTTTGAAAGTTCAAATGTGTGCTGTTTCAGTGCAGAAATTAAATCTCACTTTCAGTCATATATGGCTGTGCCAGCAACATACACACGAAAGGAATTATGTACATTATACAAGTGAAGTTCTTCTATCTTGTTTTTTTAACGAAATAGACACCAGATGCAAATGTATAGTACTGTTCAGGTAACAGCTTTGCATGACTGGATAAACAAAAGATAATTTGTGTTCTTCAGAGTGGACTACAATAAGCTCTTGCAAGAGCAAAGCAAAGCAAAATCTATCAGTGATCACGTTCTCCAACCAATAGCAATAAGATTTGGTATCAAAAGGTAGGCTTGGGAAACATTAGTGTGGGACCAGATGTATTGCTCTTCTTTATTTTCTCTTTTAGTGCTACGGGTGTTGAG